TTTTTGTTGAATTATCCATTTAATCTTAGTTTAACTCTAGTTTTATTTCAAGTATTTTAAAAAAAGACCTAAACCCCCTATTTTTAATATAGGAAATCTTCAAAAAAAAAAAAAAAAAAAAAAAAAAAAAAAAAAGTCTCAATATTTACGGAAAAGTTACACTTTAGTCCTGATATTTTTTTGAACGCAAAAGTCCTGAAAACCGGCAAAAATTTGTATTTTGACCCTTTTTTATTAGTTGAAACCGGTACCAAATTAATTTTGGACTATTTCATAAACTAACTAAAAAAATTGGGACTTTTTTGTAAACAAAAATATTATGAATTTTCTGCACACACACACAAAAAAAAAAAAAATACTCTTATTATTATTATTATTATTATTATTATTATTATTAAAAATATAAATAAGAAGACTATTTTTTGAACTTATTATTAATATTGTTAATAATACATATAAATGCATTTAGATGAAAAACTAATATTAATGACATTATTTAAGGGTGGGGGTAGAGGAAATGGTGATGCTTTTAGCATTGAAATCACGCATGTCTGTTTGTATATTTTTACTTTGTGTATGGTCATTTCACATTTGTTATTATTGTTTTCAATTCAGAATATCAATGCTAAACAATTTAAAAGAAGTTGAATATTTATAAAATTGTTTATAAATAGTTTATGGTAGAAGGATTTCTCACTTTGTATATAAAATTATTTAAGGTAGAAGGATTACTTTCCAAATCCAACAAATCCACTACAAACATGTACATAGGTAGCACATATTAAAATTCAAAAGTATTAATTACAATATCTTGTTTAATAAAAAGTAATTAACATTCAAACAATTGGTCTCACGCTCTCACAAAATTATATGTTTTTAGAATATCGTAAAAATATAATATGTACAATAGAATATTATATGTATAATATTCTAACATTATATGCATCCTTCTACCTTAAACAAGATATTGTAATTAATACTTTTGAGCATTGATATAGGCTACCTATGTAGATGTTTGTAGTGGATCTGTTGGATTTAGAAAATAATCCTTCTACCTTAAACAATTTTATATATACAAAGTGAGAAATCCTTCTACCTTAAACTATTTATAAACAATTTTACAAATATGCAACTTCTTTTGAATTGTTAAGTATTGATATTGTGAATTGAAAACAATAATAATAAATATGAAATGCCCATACATAAAGTAAAAATATACAAGTAGAAATTCATGATTTCAATTTTAAAAGCATCATCATCTCCTCCACATCCACCTTTAAATAATGTCATTGAAATGAGTTTTTCATATAAATGCATTTATATGTATCATTAACAATATTAATAATAACAAGTTCAAAAAAAAATGTATTCTTATTTATATTTTTAATTGTAATAATAATAATAATAATAATAATAATAATAATAATAAGGGTTTTGTTTGCAAAAAAGTCATAATATTTTTGTTTACAGAAAAGTCTCAATATTGTAGGTAAGTTTACAAAATACTCTCAAATTAATTTGGTACCGGTTTCAACCAGTTAAAAAGGATTAAAATGCAAATTTTTGCAGCTTTTCAGGACTTTTTCATTCAAAAAAAAATCTTGGGACTAAAATGTAACTTTTCTGTAAATATTGAGACTTTTTTGAAGGTTTCCCTTTAATTTATTATCATTCCACAAGTATATTTACAAAGAGATTTTCATAGAGTTATAAAATTAAACCAATCTAAGCGGATTCGTCCCTTTTACCGCTATACACTATCTAAGTGTAAAAGATGTATGGCTATTAATTTTGTTGGACTCGACAACTACCACTTAAAAATAAACATTTTGGACATAAGTGACGATATCTTTTCCAACTAAAAAATCAAAAAAAAAAAAAAATTTTGGAATTTGATTACAATTAGTTTAACATTAATTATAAATATTCTAATTTAAATAAAAAAAATCCCGGAATGGAGCATTTCGGAATGAAAACGTTTTTCAAAAAAAAAAATTAAAAGTAGTTAGCAATGTAAACAACAGTCTCCACTGAAACATTTAACAGATTTTTGTCATTTTTCAAAAACTTGAAAAAAAAAATTATTTTCTTCTAAAAGCTAATTTATATAGGTTAGATTACTCAATTTCCTATATATT